TATTTTCTGGGAAGAGTACTCTGCACAAAACACCACGCATATCTGTGGACGGCGCTGTGACGTGACGAGTGTGGTTCCCACTAAATATAGCCATCTCCCCTGGTCGTGAGGAGCAGAACCGTGAGGAGTAGGCTGGGTTTCGTGCCGTTCGTGGATGCATCGATCAAATCTTCACCCTCCAACAGCTGCTAGAGCACCGTCATGCCTACCAAAGACCAACGATCATTGTATTATTAGACATCCACGCGGCCTTCGGCTCTGTCGATAGGACCGCACTATAGAACTATTTGTTGAGGAACGGAGTACCTGAGAAATATGCCGATCCACAAAGAGTTATATCGTCATACCCCAGGTCAGGTTAGGGCCTATGGCCAGTTTTCGCCAACCTTCGCCATCTCTAGCGGAGTTCGACAAGGTTGCCCTATATCCTCATTCATTTTCACCTTTGTCTTAGAGGATGTCGTACGGAATGCTTTGACCGGTTTATCCAACGGGAACAAATTTCTTGACTTAGAATATGCCGGTGACATCGCCATGCTGGGTGACAACACACCCGCAGTCCAGGACGCTTTAAACTGCTTGATGATTGAGGTATCCGAGTATGACATGTGCTTTGCACCTTCAAAGTGCAAAGTGCTTGTTCAAGAATGGCAGAAGCCTGTGTCTGCAGTCATCCTCTGTGGTGATCAGCTGGAAGTAGTTGAGAGCTTTAAGTATCTCGGGAGGTTGATCGCAGCTGGTGTTGGTGTTGGAAAGGATATCACATCACAAATAGCGAAAGCTAGAGCAGCTTTCGCCAACCTGCGACACCATCGTCGTCGCCATGACATCCGACTATCCCTTAAGGGAAGGGCGTACACCAACGCAGTTCGTAGTGTTTTGCTTTGCGATTGGAAGTCCCGACCTATCCGCGTTGATGATGCTAATCGACTTTCTGTATCCGACCACTGATGTCTCCGAAGTATTACTTGTGTCTGGTAGAAATGTCGGGTGAGCAATGATGTGATTCGTTGTCGTGTGTTGGATGTGGATAGTCGTTCTGTAATAGAAGTAATCGCTCTATACCACCTCCGATGGCTTGGTCACGCATTACATATGCCTACCCATCGAGTACCTTTCTGTGCTCTCTTTGCACATGCTGGGCAAGGCTGGAAGAAGCGCCGAGGCGGTCAGAACATAACATGGGCCAGAGGCATGAAGAAGCTGGCTTCAGCTCTAGCTTTGGTTGGTACAGCCCGCCTTCCAGGTTGGGGCCCAAGGGGTGAGGGTTATCGTTGGTTAGGGACTCTAAGAGATATGGCCCAGAGTAAAAGTCAGCAGCGCGAATGCTGTACTGTTTGCCTGTTGAAGTCCGGTGCCCCATAAAAAGACAAAGTAACACACAAAAATCTCAAAATGTGTACGGTGGACAGATAAAAATTGCCACCCCATTTATTTGTTATTTTGTATTTTACCTGTTCCGTCTTTTTTCCTATGTTCTGTTTCGCAACCTTCCCTCCAGTTAATGTTATCGTTATTATTGTTTTGGTGTTGGCATCATGCCTATCTGCAAGCCCCGTGTTGAATATATATATCTATATATATTTGTTAATACTTCTACATTGAAATCTACATAACTGCACATCTACATACATGTTTGTTTGTTTATTGTTCCATTTAGGTATTCAATCTGGCTTTATTGGTTATTTGATATAGGTTATTGAATAGATCTACTCTTGTCTACTCTGAAACCTGACAACAGGCATGATTACTTTTAAAAACCTTAGCTCTAATGATATCTTTAAGTTTTAATTAAATCTTTTCTCATTTGTGTTCTCTGTAAGGATGAGAGCTTTAAACTTATCATGTGAAGGGCAAAATATTGACATTCAGTTCAACAAAACACTTGATAAATCCCTAGTCCTAATTAAATAGATTCTCAACCCGAATACAATACTCCAGGTGCAACTGCATATATGCTTTGAAAAATGGTATCAGAACTAGTGATTATCCTGAAGCTCCTATTCTGAGTATTTATTACAATATAATGAAATTTCTGTCGGCCAGTTGGCACTAATATCAAACCTTTAGGTGTGCTTTGGTCATGATTCCTAGTTTATTGCTTTTTAGCGTACTTGGCACTGCTGTTTTAATTCCATTTCCACAATGTACCTAGGAATAACCTGCAATCACTTTGTTTACTAGCTGTCTGCACTTGGTTGGTTTTAGCGATGAGATCCATTCCTTTGTCTAGTGGAACCGGGTATCCAACTCTCTTTCCAGCACTGTACTGGAGTAGTTGACCACAAACTTGACCCCATCTGCAAAGAAAGAAGTGACTAAGTCGGAGTTGCTCGCAAAATCAATAATAAATGTCAAAACTAGTAAGGGTCCCTATGGTGGGTACTCCACTGATCATATTTTCTCATGGTTGATCGAAAGCTTTCAACTTTGTGTAGAAAATCTTGCTCCATAGGAATTGTCCAATTTGTCTTAGGATAACTCATGCTTCTTTAAAGCGTCTAGCCTAATCAGGAGGATTTGGTTATTTGCTGTGTCAAAACTCTACTTAATGGCGAGTTAGATAACCTCGATCTTCTGCTTTTCATTCAGTCTTTGGAATGTGGGTTCCTTTAGACAACCATACTGCATGAAGTGTTATCTACAATGTAATTTTTTCAGAAAGACATTCACCAAAGGTCTCATTTTGACACTGTTGATTATTTGAATAAATAAGCCAGAAACACAGGTTTGCACAATATATCCTGGATCATTTCGCTGCATCTATACACGTGTATGCTGAAGTCTTTGTGATCATTAATATACGGTCAGTGAATAACATGTTAATATATTAATGATCACATAGACTGCAGCATGCACGTGTACAGATGCAGCGAAATGATGCAGAATACATTGTGCAAATCTGTTTTTGGCTTATTCGTTACGGGGAAGCTATGCTTTCGATTTCTCAAACTGTTGAAAATATTAATTTCCTCTGTTCCTATTGTTTACACAATGTGAAAGGTTTCACTGACTAAGAGAATCACCTTAACTGTGATTTGTATGTGTAAAAGGAACCCAGCAAAACGATCACGGATACATCATTTGAATCTGTTTGTGACTATTCTGTCCAAGGTATCGCTAAATGTCACATCTGTGTAAGCAGAATATTTAAATCATACACATAATGGAGCTTTTCCGTACGCTACATACATTATTTAAATCCCTGAATATACTGTATATAATTGTCAATCGTTAACGGCATTTTTTGACTCTGTCAATAACCATGGATAAGAAGCGATAAAGCACACTAAGCAGCCACAACTCCGTTTGCAAATAAAGAACACACTTTTTGCTTGTTTACTGCCTGTCACTTAATTTCTTATTTGCTTTAAAAGATTTAATGAAAGGAATTGATGAAAAGTTGAAATGCAATTGTGTTACGGAGATACGTTTGTTATGAACATATCATCTGTGGAAAAAGTTGAAGAAAAACAGAGACAGAGACACTATACCGTATATATATATATATAATATATATATATATACTTTGAACCAATCCATAAGTCGATTTGTGTAGCTAATTAATTTTGATTATAAAAATTTAAATTTCGAAGAATTTAACCAATTGGAGCAGAATCTCAAAGGGTTTAAACGAGAAAACAAGCCCTCAAGATTGGATAAATAAAAAGCAGTCAAGTTTTTTCTCTGAAAATAGTCTTAGAGTGATGAACCATTATTTCATAACCGTAAACTAAAGCTTAGGAAAGAATATAGTGCTTTGTATAATATAAAACAATAGAATTACTGCATATTATGAACAGGAAGTAAGCCAAATTCAACCACAAGGTTCAGAACACAAAGTGGAAATGTATTTATGTGTGCTCTAAGTTCAAAATAATCATAATTCAGAGTGCTGCTGTTCCAAGCCCTGAAAACGGAGTGTAAACAGTGTTTTATGGTACCTGTTATACGTGGCGTAAAACGTAATACCGGCACATTGCTTTAAAACAAACAGCCAATATGATTCTCACTTGTAAAAGAGCACCAAGGTGACAATGTCATTTTCTGTGTCTGGAATCCTTGGGGATGAAAAAAATCAGTTGTCAGTTTACGTTGAAACCGAATATCAGCAAATGAAACGGAATCATAAGGGACAAAATAAATATAAGCCTATCAACTGACGTCATCACTTCAATTCGTTTGGTTACTATTTTCTTGTCATAAGCTAATTAAAATTCCAAACAGCTGAAGTGGAATAAGAACCCCATTTGGTAGAAAAGTGAGATTTATCTTAAGATTTTTCGCTGCAAACTGTTCAGTTCATTTTTCAGCTGAAGTTTCTCATGCACTATGTTACGAGTAATCAGGCCTTTCTGGTTATGTTCTTATAAATTCTCGCGAATACCTCATCTTCTTAGGTGGGCTCAACTCTTTGTTACTGCTGTTATTCCGGGATGAAATTAAACAAGGACGAAGAGAACTGGATAGTTAGTTCGTTCATGTTTTGACTCGGCATTTGTGAGTATGTTCTGTTCTGTCTCTGTTGGGAATTGGACTGTAAACCTCCGGGTTGGGAGTCATAACCTTTATCCCTAAAATATAAAGTCAACAGTCAACAGTTGTAGAGCATGACCACATGTATAAGACATTTACCAGTGGTTTAAAGCTACGATTCATCTTCATTTTTGCCTATCGAAAATAATTTTTCTGCTTTTGAAAATGCACCTTTGTTCATGTACTGTATATGAATCAATTCGGTGGTTCCCAATTTCCAAAAGTGCGTCCACAGCTGAAACGACACTTTCCCCTGATTACTCTGTTGAGCCCGAAAACAAAAAATTTGATCAGAGTACGAGAGCTAAAATTTTGTTCATACTGACTTGAATGACTTTGGATGAAAGTTCCTCTGATTCATACTTCGATACTAAGCACAGTTGATCCCAAGAACAGTTCCTAGTTTTTTTTCACTTGAATTTTCTAAGACACGTCCATCACTTAGCTCGTTTTTCCTCGTACAGGGCTGCTCATCTCTGGCCAACACGGCTCCTCGATTTGAGCAGCATCGTTCATGTGGACCCGGACCAGATGCTTACGTCATCACATCTACTTGGGGTGGTCGAAAACCAGATCCTTGTGGACTTCTGATGCCCGACGTATTGATGCAAGCCTTTGAAGGGCAAAGTGTACCCGATCAGAATAAAACATTGGTAAGTATATTATCATGCTGTCAAGAACGCAGTGGAGCGGAGAGTCTTACAGTCATTTTTTTCATTGATTTAACGAAATAAACAAAGTATGTCTCTTGTCTCTTGACGCCTTCTGATTAGGCTGAATAGTGCAACACGCTAAGGACAATATGTTGTTCTTTATCGTATTGTTCATGCCAGATCACAGAACCTGCGTCCCAATCCCCGGAGGTTCATCGATTCCGCACATGTGAGCACGTTTTTCGATGCTATAAAATTTCGTTTGTAATGAGAACTGGACATCTGTTTCGTTCTGGTTTCAAATTATCAACCAGCAGTGTGTATACTGTTAGTGTTCCAGGTGGCACTCAAGCCATGAGGGTTCGGTTTGGAAGTTAAAACCCTTCTGGGCTACATGGCAAATGATCAATGGGTAAATCTTTCTTAAATTCTCCACGACAAGTTTTATCTGGCTATCTATCTATCTATCTATCTATCTATCTATCTATCTATCTATCTATCTGTCTGTCTGTCTATCCATCTATCTAGCCTATTCAATAAAAATAATGCGATTTCATCGGTAAACTGAAAAATTGTACGCAAAAGTGTACCGTAAAACAAACGAAACTAACATGTTCGTTATTCATTTGCTTGTTCCCTGCAATCAGTTCCCCGTTTTTACCAAAATCTCCCATTTTCATTATACACTTTTGTCTCGTTGGCACCACATATTTCTTTAAATGGTTTATTTATATACATCAGATTACGATCTGGAATTTTCGGTGTTTTAATTAATCTGGGCATCATCTTGGCCAATGGAATTATTTTTTGGATAGTTTAAAATGCTCCTCAATAAAAGGTGATTCCGATAATTTGATTTTAAAGGCAGATGGGGTAGTTGTGTGTGGGAAGATTGCAAGGATTATTGTGCACTGAAATGTTTCCGAGCTTACGTGCAATCAAAACTAGTTGAAAAGGTATAGATCGGAGAGACGCATATTAGAAATCGTAATACTAATCTTTTTGAAGTTGACGGGAATCAATCGAGATTTTGTTTTAGTCATTTGTGCTGCCATTGTCGGTATAGATTCCAGCGGCCAAAGGAGGAAGCTGTTTTTGATAGGTAAAGGTTGAGAGTAACTTATGCCTGGGTATATTAATAGCCATTATTGGTGGGATTCTTTTACTAATGCTTGCCTGCCTCATATGAAGTACGAAGAGACCAAAAGCATGTAAACTTGACTGCACAAATGTGATCGAAATTGTTTTTACTTTGGCACGATTGTTCAATGAGTGTGCTGAACAGTTATGTAAATCAGAATTCATTCATTTTTCGGGAACCATTCATAAAAAGAGGTTAGATAGTTTTTCTATGGCAAGAAAATACGCTGTTGATGAATTAACCCCGGAAGAATTCGATTAATCAATAAAACCGAGTGGTGGCTGAATAGCGATTTTAATTGACGTCAACTTTTGGAACAATCGCTTTCGAAAGAAACTAAACTAATGATAAATGGAATTTCAATTTTATCCGGGATTAGTAATTAAACCAAAAGCACGGGCGGTATTTACTTCTGTTTTGAAAGACTCAGTGATTAATTGAAGAATGACCTCTGGTCCCTCGACGATTCAATGTTTATTTCCAGTTTATCACAGTCTAGAGGTGTATACTTGGGAAGCTAGATAACAGGTTTCATCAATGAGCAAAGTATAGAATTTGCTCGCATCGAGGGTCCCGTCTGTGACAGTTGAGTTTGTGACACCCGAAAGTCCTTTTACACCAGTACACAAAGTTCTCACCTGTGTGGAAAGTCATCAGGAATAACCATATTATGTCAAGAGAAAACAGATTAATTCTAAAGAACTGTCATCAGACGAGATTCTCAGCTAGGTGAGTTTATCGAATAAGTTCGTTTCAGTTATTTACCAATTTGTTTATTAACATAAGACAATCCACTAAGAATATTTTCTTCATGCAGAGAACAGCAAGAATGGTCATCGAGCTCGTCTTCTAGAACTTCTTCCCCTGACAAATTCTGACCTATATNTATATATATATGGAACTGATGAGGATTGGTTGGCAAAGACGTACAAAAAAGTGGTTTAATAGTAGTTCAGAATACAGAACCGGGACAAAAGAACAGCAGGGCGGGAAGAAACATTTGCCTTTCCTGTATCTGGTTGCATCATAAGAGTTCCCACTGCTCATACACTTAACAGGATGACTTCTGTTGTGAACCACAAAAGCCGACGTAAGGGATATTCAAACGTGTATTGAACGTCACACTCCAGCATCAACATTTCCCGGTCTTTGGCCAGCTCCACTTGTAAGACAGCCATGTTAACACGTGACTAATAAAGCTTTCACTAACGCATAATTGTTATATTAACTGGATACGGGATGGATTTTATACCGTTTCAGAATCGTGGTTCATTCTGTATCGGGCTTAGAAGCTTCAATATCAAAGAAAGAGCATCGCTACAAATACTTTTCGTACTCTTAAGGCTGTGACTCAAGGGAAAGAGGATATGTAGGATAGCAAAACAGCAACAACAACTTCAAATATTTTGTCTGATTGTGAAACGGATGAGATTAATTACATCGCGCCAACAAAACTTCTCGCAATGAATTTCGTATTTTGTATTTGTGTGTAAGCATATATGCTTTCATTTCAGTTAAAAATTGAAAGTAGTTATCAGACCGAATGGAAAACATGGGCACAGAAAACATGCAGGGTGTAAAAATATCGCCAAAGTTTGGCTTATGCGCACAGATTCTGACGTCATTCAATAAAAATCTGTGCTCTTTTGGCCAGGAATCGGACCGGAGAGGATACAGAGGGATTGTTGTAAATGGTAATACGAGAGGGTACATGTTGAAAACAGGAGCGTGTGGACCAACTGGAACAAAAAGAAGGTAAATAAAGATGCAGTGGATGAACAAACTCATCTAGGTTATTGCTGGCAAAGTTTTTAAAAGATTTGATGCGATCGTTTATAAGTTCCGTGAATTACGAATGCACCAAAAGGAAGGATACACGACTGACTATCAGCAAACTACGACAGGTCATCTTGAAGTCTTGTTTGAAGAGGTCCGAAAGCAATACAAGCTAGAAATAGCGTCAAACTGGGAAAATGAATTGGTGAACGTAAGAACTGACTGTGGAGTTCGGAATTGTGAGTTTCCGTAGCTGATAGAAAAGGCTTCGCAGTCTACCCATACAATTGTGAATTTTCGGACCACCGGAGAGTATTGTCAATGGTGACACCTAGCTACTTGACAGACGTCACTATAAACAAAAGATTACAGTTAACGTTATCAGTCCGTAGGAAATGAGGAGCGGAAAACACTGAAGGTGCACTATGGGCACTGGGGTGTGTTATAACCAATACCATATTGAGATAAGAAAACTGTTGAATTCGGGATAGATTTTCAGTGAGGGAGTTGAATTCCGAACAAGAGGAAATTGTCTGGTACAAAACGACATCGTCAGCATATTTTTAAATGTGTGTAGGAAGTGAGACCAAAAGATCATGAACGAAAGCCGTAGAGAGATACGGAGATAGAAAAGCACCTGGGAGCACGCCAGAATTATTGAATAGTGGTTTTAAAGTACTATTGGTGCATCGAATCCTTTCTGTTAAAATAGTCAGAAAATCATGAGAGTAACTATTTAGGAGTGTCAAAAGACTCAAGTTTGAAAAAGAAGGATAATAGGAAAATGGATTCTAACACAGGCGAATAGTCATGAAAAGCTTCACGGAACGACTTGGCTGAATTGTTCAATGAATAAGATGGGTCAGAGTGGACACGGCGTTCAGTGTAAATCTGTTGGGTTTATAAATAAACTGGAGGGAGGAGCCATGGGAATTTCTGGTAACTGACTGTATGCAGTTTAAGATGACTTTTCTCCTTAAACTTAAGAAGTGCAAGAAGTCAGTGCAAGTCGACGATTTCAAGTTTAGCTCGGCATTACTTGTGCGTAGTGGTGTGTAAAGATTGATGTTGATTTTGCTTGACTATATTTTATGTTTCACCTTCACTCATCATTCTTGATTCGCACATTCAACTGTACACTCAAAAAGTAATTGATTTGGGCTGTTCTCTTTTTAGATAGATCTTATTGCACTTCCTGCTTTTGAGTTCTCAACGCCTCGCATGAAAGGCGTATGTGTTACCACTGCAACTGAATGTACAGAGGATGTCACGTGAGGGGGAATTCGGAAGAAGGATTCGTTCAGTGAGCCTTGGATACAGGCTCTGATCAAAATCAGTAACCACAACGTCTAATAAATACATCACCTCTATGATATCATGGTTACCATGGAAATAATGTTGACAGGGTGGGATTTGTACTTGAATTCCGTGTTCCGGATGTGGTTACCATTGCGAGTCGGAACGAGAGCTGCATCGGTGTTTGATAAGAAAAACTTGGAAAATCATTTCGGCCACATGAGTATTCATGCCTGCAAATGAATGCCCCCCCGCCCGGGTTTGCAGCTGTTCATCCTATGTTGCTGACTCAAACGTGGCAGATGGAGCGAAATGCATCCTTTTCAATCACTGTGTAATAAGTTTGGAAAAGCGAGAAACGGTAGCATATACGATGGACATAGTTTACCTGATGTTCAGCACGTGGAACAAGTGACTAGGATTTCTTCTCATTTCTGCATGGAAACAAAGACAACAAATAAGCCATTGACCCACAGCGAAGTAACTACACATCACGTAAATGAATTTCAATGAGGTTCCACACTTGGCAATTGATGAATATTGTGCACCCGCATTACGGTTCTGGTGACTGCCATTCAGTTATTCGTCTGGTCAAAGCAAGAATTAAGGAATCAGAATAGACAACAAACCGAGGCCGTGTTACCGAGTCGAATGTATGAAGCCTAGTTATGACGTGTACGAATAAACTCATTCGAGATAATGCTTAAGACACCGAAACATATCATTCAATACCTTCAGCCATTGCTGAGGCTGATATTCAGCCAGAACGCATTGCACTTCATGAACG